GATCAAAGACCTAGATAGGTATGCAACTGGATGAATCTCTCCGTCCTTATCACACTTCTGAGACAGTACTGCTCCTAATGCGAAATCGGAGCAGTCGCATTCAAGGATGAACGGACGGTAGGGGTTGGCAATTTTCAATACCGGGGCTGTTGTGAAAGAGTTCTTCAGGGAATCAAAGGCGTCCTGGCATTCACTGCTCCACACATAAGGCGTGTTGTGTTGTGTCAGTTCGTGGAGGGGTCTTGTCGCAGAGAAATGATTGATAAAGCGTCTGTAAAAGTTTGAGAATCCAATGAATCGTTGGAGTTCTGTTACTGTGAGGGGTCAGCTACTTTCTGGCTGACTCTTCACTAAAAAGAAGTGTATAAGGACTAGGAAGAAGTCTTCACTGGCACACCCAAGTGAAGACTGCAGTTAGTTGACCTCTAAAGAGAGGATTTGATGCCAGTGGGATGGCTGAGTAATCCCTCTAAGGATCTTACTCAGAGCTCTGGTTGATCTTACAACTCTGGAGCCTGCAGCACTTTAGACTCTGAGTATTCAGAGGTGCCGCGGGGTACTTTAGACTCTTTTGAAGAGGAACCCTTTGTAAATTCCAAGCTTGTTCTGTTAGCTATTAATCCCACCAGCTCAGAACACCACTTGAGGTTTTACAATAACCTGAATAAAAGTAGAACTATGATAATCAAGATACAACAATATCACTATACTCAATATTCTTGGTAAAGAATCAAGTAAAATGTGATGAGGAGTTGTGGTATGATGTGAAGTTGGTTCTTCTTGCAAAGTGGGAAGAAGAGGAGTTTATATATTCTAGACCTAGGCGTCAACTTGTGGTTGGCGCTTAGGTTTGCTTTTCTTTGAGTTAGGTTTGGGTTAGGTTTGGGTTAGGTTTATTATTACTGGTTAAGTCATAATAAGGCTTGTTACTTAATTGACTCTTGAAACTGAGCCATGAGTTGTAATTCTTATGGTTTTAGACAAGTTTCATATATTTACGTATGTATTACATATATTTACATGTGTGTTTGTTAGTCCGTGGTCCTGTACACAGGGCTCAGGGCTGACAGTTACATTCCGGAGAGCCGGTCACTCACTAACTGCCTTAACCTTGGAAGGGTCCATTTGGATCTTGTTGCATGAGATTAGCAGGCCTAAATATTCAACTTCTGATTGCGAGAACTCACATTTCTCCAGCTTCAACCATAATTGATGCTTATTGAGAACTTCCAGTATACCCCTTACCCCCTCCTCATGATCAACCCCTGGTTTGGTATAAATCATGAGATCGTCCAGAAAAGCCGCTGTATCTTGACCAATGCGCCCTAGTAAGATGTCTTGTATGAAATATTGAAAGAATGGGGGGCGCCCGTTGGTCCAAAGGGCATGGTGAGTGGTGCGAACTGTCCTTCTTTACATATGAATGTTAATTTGTCCTCGTCACCTTCCGCAACTCGTAGGTTCCCGTAGGCATTCCTTAAGCTTGGTGAACCGGTCAGCGTCGAGTAGGCTGTCGACAAGTTCCATTGTCGAGGGCAATGTGTACTTGTTTTTGACAGTCTACACGTTCAACTTGCAATAGTTGGAACAGGGCCTCAATTTACCGTCCTTCTTCCCTGTAAATAATACTGGGGCCGCCCACGGTGATGTGGTGCCTCTAATAGTTCCGTTTTCAAGGCCTTCTCTGATCATTTCTTTGAGGGTGCTGACCTCGGCGGGTGATAGTGGTATTATTTGACTAGCTTGAGGTTGAGCATCAGGTACTAGATCCACTCAAAAGTCGTATTTGCGTCGAGGAGGTAGACCTTTTGCCTTCGATTTTTGGAACATGTGGATATACCGGTGATAGTATGAAGATACCAATTCCTCAGCCGTGGATTTGGGTGTCCGGCTGTTCTTCTCAGCAGCAATTTGTGCCAATGTTGACCAGGAAGCGTTTGCTAAATTAATTGAGGTGGTGTTGCTGTTGTTGTTGGGTCTGTCTGAGACTGATTCATGGGATGAAGAGGCTTGCCAGCTGATTCAACAGATGAATGAATTGGGACAGGATCACACTCACATTGCGGGGGTGTTAGTGTACTGTCATAGGTACGCACCCCCTTGCCAAGTTTCCTAGCTTCCCTCACAGGTTCCTTCTCCTGGTTAGATGAGGGTGTTTTTGGATCTGGCAAGGCTGATACTTCAGCCGCAGTGTTTTCTCCCTGATTACTTGTGGTGGTCTTCTTGGTGTCCTGATGTTTGTCAATTATATGCTGTTCTAAGGGGCATATCAACTTGCCTACTGTTTCATGGTTTGAAGGCAAAAAAACAGGATCATGCTCACATTGCGGGGGCGTTATTGTACTGGCTATAGTACACACCCCCTCGTTGGATTTCCTAGCTTCCCTCACGGGCTCCTGTACCAGGGTTGGCGAGGGTGTTGTCGGGTTCAACAAAACTGCCTTCACAGTTGCAGTGTGGATGTTGGTCATAAGTTGGTTGGTCTTGGTCTTCCAGTCAATAAGGTGGCCGTGTTCTTCTATCCAAGGCATTCCTAATATGCCGTCGTAGGTGTCTTTGACTCTTGCAATGATGAATCTTGATGGTTGGTGGTCGTGGTCAATGTAAAGGTCAATCTCATACACTGATCTGCTGGTAGATCCGTCATATCCTGAGACTTCTCTCTCAGTGCTCATGCAGTACTTAATGAATCCAGCTTTCGTGGCTACGGATTCACCTAATACGTTATGAGTTGCTCCCGTGTCAATCAGTAAGGTGACAGGAATTGTGGCAGTTGATGTGGCTCGGGGGTCATTAAGGACGGATAGGGTAGTACACGAAAAAACTCTGGGATCTATTTCATTACGCACTACAAATTTGCTTGCTCCTATCTCCACTTCCTTAATTTCACAAATATTGCTCAGAATGGGCAAATCTTTCAATTCTGAGCACCTCCATTTTTTGCCTGATCAGCTCTACTGCCGCTATCATTATCTTCGATCTTCATCCTAGCCAACCTCTCTTCTAATTCTGCTATCCTTGCCTGACCCCTCCCTTTACCCTTTCCACTACTACTGATCTGCTTTGGGCATTCTCTAGCAAGATGACCGTGTAAGTTGCATTTGAAACAAAGCCCTTGTCTGAGTCGTTTAGCGCGTTCTTCATCCGTAAGATAAGCTCGGGTCGCTGATAGGTCCATGGCGTCAGGTGCTGGTTGTGCTGGTTCAACTACGTGGGCTTGGCGGTTAGAGGTCTCTTGGACACCGGGCATCTCATTTTCGATTTGAATGGCTAGTCGGGTTAAGTCTTTGATTGAGTCGAATTGGGTTCTGGCTAGTACAATCGCAAGTCGGACATCCTTCTTCAAACCTTGACGAAACTGACTGATTAGAGTGGGTGTCTCCCATCCGGTGTCTCCAGCGTGAAGGTTAAATTCATGGACGTAGTGAGCAACGGATTAAGTTTGTTTCAGTAGTCAAATGGCTTGCTCGGCTTTGCTGTGTTTTTCGGTATTGAAGTACATGGCGCCAAAGTTTTCGTAGAAACGGGCGTAAGTGACTCTATCGGCTGTGGCTTTGTCAAACAGTTTGCGAATCAAGGGTTGCGCCCATTTGCTTGCGTCGCCAGTGAGGTATGATAGCACGAAGACGAATTTAGAACGGTCGGAAGGGAATTTGGTGGCGTATGCCATCATATACAGTCCCACTTGGCTCGCAAAGGTTTCGGCTGCCGTGCCGCGTGAGCCGTCGAACTTGTCTGGTACCAAGATCTTAGGTAGGTCAACGGGAGGGTTTGGGGTTTGAACGGTGGTGGTAGGATGTTGTTGGAAGGTAGGTGGGGGAGGAGGAGGTGGTGGTGGGGCCGAGGTACTTTGAGTACCTTGGGTCTGATTCAATCGTTTGGATTCGATTGCGGTTAGTCGTTCTTTGGCGTGTTGCCGTTTGCGTTCCACTATAGCTAGTTGGTGTTCAGTGTCTCGGCATCTGAGTTTTTCTTCTTCTAATACCGCTGCAAGCTCTGCAAACTTAGCTTCAAGTTGTTCCATTGTGGCGCAATAAGGTTTGTCAATTTGGTAGATCTGATATTCAAGGTTTTATTGGGTTTATGATTTATCAATTTAAGCTTTGTCGGTTCTGAGAACTTCGGTTCTGAGTTCTATCTGATGATTTGATAATGATTGATCTTTGGTTTCTGGTTTCCCGCTGGACGTCTGGTATTAAGAAAGACACTGCAATATGTTGTAGGCCGGGGGCCTGGAGGGGAGGTCTTTGTCGAGCAGGGTCCTCTTCTACTTAGTTAGATTGCAGTGTGAGGATTGATACGTGGAATACAACGGGTCTAAGTAAAGGAATGGAGAGGCGCATGCGAGTGCTGTGCGCGCGTTCATGCCGTGCACTCCAGTAACACAGCTTATAAAATACCGGCAACCCTGAACCCGCCCAATGATGTAGCTGTCCATTAACACGGAAACTGTAAACACCTTTCTGACCACGCACAGACCAATTGTGTTTGGCGGACATAGAGGTGAATGAGAGAACATTAATGTAATCACGAATCCAATATCGAGCAGCAATGGCATCTGTAACATGTTATGTCATTTTGCGTAAGATAATTCTGGTTGAAACAAGATTATGCAAACCAGGATCCATGGAAGTTAACAACCAAATAATTGATTCGGGAGGGCTGCATTGGGGAAAGTAAAAAATTGGAAGCATTACTTGGCCAGTTTTGCAACAATTTGTATATTCATCCTTGTTGTTTTTCTGATACCTTTTAGTCCTTTCTTTCCCCCATCTCAAGGCACCACAGGTTGCACAAGACCTTTCGCACTTGCCAACGTTAGATATGCGGAAATTACCAAATTTTTCCTTTAATGCTTGTTCTGACCTAGAGACTGGACCTCTTATGATGGAGTCCATGATGAAACAAATAATGTCGACAAAGTCCAATTTTTCTATTATTATAACATTGTGTTGAAAGTTGTGTTTTTGATGAAAATTTGATGAAAAGTTAGAAAATGGTCAAAGGATAGAACCGTAGCCCAACATCAAAACTTCTTGGCTGAAGGTAGAGCTTTTGCCATGGAAAGAAACTTTTGGGGCAAATGCACTACACCTATTAACAATTGAGTCACACATTTTATTGCCATTTTGGAACGGTAGCCTTTTCAAATAACCCTTCATCAGACATGATGAGCATTTGTCGATACCCCTCCATAGCTGATGACAATGTACGATGCCATTCTCGTGCCTGAGTAGTTTCCCACATATGTAATAAGCATATTTTCTCTACTTTTTACGCATTATGAAATGTGTCCTGACCTTTTCACCACTTTTCGCAAGGAATAAGGGGTTGCCAGGATCAAGAAACTCTGCTAGTGCCAATGCGAAGGGCTGAAACGCAATGCTGCAGAATTTCCAAAGGATGTGAAAAAATCAAAGGAGTCGGATACTGATTGCTGAGACTGGGACATCTGGGGTACCACTGATATAACCAGCATAGATGAGCCTTGCTTGATCATTCGCGTAGCACTTGCAAAACAGGATTGACCCCTGCTTGCGATCTGGGGTTACAAGGTCAGTGTATATATATGTTATATATGTTATGTACAACAATGGTGACTCACAACAAAGATCCAAAACATCCAAAGTACGTGGGGTACCTTCACATTGACATGTCTTCTTGAAGTCATGATCAAATAATTGGTTTGACCAATCACGTGTTAATCACTGCAACTGAAGGTAAGCTTGGAACATGGCAGGGTGTTGTTTTTGCCATTGCACTTCTTCATGGGCCCTACGACCGGAGTAGAACCCCCTATTCAGAGCATGTATGGCATCATCATCCACCAGGACAACTTCGGGAGGATCCATGGAGGGATCAAGAGGCGGTGCATTCATGTGATCATCCATTTCGTCGTTTGGGTCATTGTTGTCGTCGTCATCAAGTACTTGAGTGGGATCAGCGATTGGTGTGGTGTTGACGGGGACTTGAGGTGGCCCCAAAGGCTCTTGACCATGCCGTTGCAGCGTCTGCTCCCGAGCTTTACGTTTCAGGGCCAGCACTCGAGCGTCAAGGGGGTTTTGGGGGCGCTGATTGAGACTTTCAAAGGTGCAAGGGCGATCTTTCTTCTTGTTGGCCATGGTTGCATAATCTAGGTCGGGTACTTCAGTGAAAGATTAGTTATCAGTGACGTCTTGAAGGTTTCTTGGTGAGGAATGAACTACGGTTTGGTATAAATCGAACATCTTTGGTATGAATGGAATGGTTGCTCTCTTTTAATTCACCCCCTGATTACAATCATAATAGTATCTTTTGGCCAGGGGTGAACTACCATTTCATAATGATTTCATCATCCCCCACCTCTGTGTATTTCATCTAAGCTAAGATCAATTGGGACATCACTGAACTAAAAAATGACACTGATGTCCCATCGGGCGTTTGTACTTGTCAGGATGCGAATCCTTTCACACATGAAGTATCTTGATGATCACGCTGAATATTATTGAAGATCAATCCTCATGATGAACAGTTTACATCATGATTCAGAGAGTCTTTTCAGATTATTAAACGATGTAGAAGGGATGCAAGAATCTGTAGATTAGAAATTGTTTTCATTTTTTAATTGAGTAGACGGCATTTCATGCTGGTGATGTTGTTGGCCGGTTTTCCCTTGGGTTTTTGTGGTTCGTAATCATCACATAATGCTCATATCTCCCTCAATTTTTAACAAAACATCAAGGTTCCACAATGAAAGTTATTGGAAATTACATTTTAAGTAGAGTTTTATAGCACTTCGCAAGGAACTATCCAACTCTTGATGCTCAAATAAAGGGTTGCGTGCGGTTCTGCTTCGTGGTAATTGTCAACCAGGCCTTACATCTCACTCAATTTTTGTTCTACCTGCAGGGTCAAATAATCAAAGTTATAGGAAATTTCATTTTACCTAGAGTTTCATAATACCAATCATGATAATGTCCAAGTATTAACGGCCATGTATAGGACTTTGTAAAGTTAGGGGGGGTAGTACACGGCACAATGTTTGCATATCTCAGTCAATTGTGGTTCAATGTGAAATTGAGAATAATAAAACTTCTGGTAAAATGAATTTTAACCATAGTTGTATAATGCTCAAGAATAAGGTAAGCACTTCCTGATGGCGTAATAGAGGGCTATGAGATGTCTGGGGGTGGCTTCCAATGTCACAAAACACGCATAACTCTTTCAATTTTGCCCCAAACTAAAAATTTCAATAATGAGATATGTTCTAAATGGGAATTCGTTTTCCATTTATTAAGAGAATTGTTTGTATAAACACTGTCTTCTCACCCCTTTGGCCAACTGAAAAATATTGCATCATTTCAAAATGGCCATAACTCGGCAACTTTTTGCATTTCGACCTCAGGACCTGTTCCAGTGAATTTTTATGGTGATTTTAGGGGGACTTTATTAGGGAACTTTTGGGTCTTCATGACTTTGAAATTTCTTGAAATTCTGTGTGCAATAATGACCATATTTGTCATTTTCACGTTGATTGGAACAACATAACACTCATCAAGGAATTTTCACTGCATTTCAGGAAGTTGGAAAGTTGTTTTTATTCATTGGTGGTACTTTGTGGAGAGTCGCACATCAAAATTATCCCACAATACTTTACCACCACTACTTTCTGAGGGAATTACCTGCTTTAATCCCCTGAAGCAACCAGCTTGCTGCATTAACCTTGTCCCACTGAACTCAGAGTTTACTATGATGCAGGAAGTTTGAATGATTTTATTAGTCATTTATGGTACCTGGCAGATATTTCTACATCACAGATAACCCATCTGTCACATTATACACTGAGTTATGAGTATATTTGTGGTTTGATTCAGGTGTAGCACCCGGGCGCTCCATTAACCTCAACCTAGTAAACTCTTACAATATGACACCTTTTGTCAAAATTATTATCACAAATATATATATATTTCCGCACTTGAACAACTCACATTATATCAACCATCATTGATCTATGATAAGTATGGTGTGGACTATGCTACTTTTGTGCAACTTGTACCACTATCAGTCAGTTCTACCCCATAATAACACTTTGGTCCAAAGTGTTATTACAATCAGTTATGCATTTCTTGATGTTAAAATTTAAACATTATAACATCATACCAACATTATTTCATGATCAGGATTGTGTGGACCATGCAAGTTTGGTGCTACTTGTACCATGGGGGCACATTAACCTTTCAGCCAGTAAACTCTACTGCAATCACACCTTTGGTCAAATGTCTTGATATAAACCCCATATTGAATCTGAACATCTATCATTGATCCAATATCTAATTCTACAATTTAGAATTATTCTAACTTCATCAGGATTGGACCTATAAAGAGTGAGATTTACAGCTTTGGACCTATAGAGAGTGGGGTACGGTCAAATGTCTTGATATAAAGCCCATATTGAATCTGAACATCATAAAGCCCATATTGAATCTGAACATCTATCATTGATCCAATATCCAAATCAATGATTTAGAATTATTCTAACTTCATCAGGATTGGACCTATAAAGAGTGAGATTTACAGCTTTGGACCTATTAAGAGTAGGGTACCCTCTAATCCCACTGATTATTACTTGTCAAATTACTTTCTCTTGCTGTCACTAAGTCTGTTTACACCGTGCCCAAGGTGTAAACAGACTTAGTGACAGCAAGAGAAAATGTTTGTGGTAGTCAGGTGAAAACACTTGCCATACTACGAGAACTATGTACCTTTAGTTGACATGCTCTCTTTCCTGCACACAGGATCAAAGCTCAGGGGGTGGTACTTCGTGGGGCACACCCCAGCAAGGTCCCATGAAAATTGGACCCTGCTGGGGTGTGCAAACCCCACCAGGAAACAATTTTTGCGTTTTGAACCAATGAAACACCATATTATCTATGAAATAATCACCTGTACAATAAATTAACTTCCTAGGTAGGACAGATGTATTCGATCATGTCAACAGATGCCACAACAGATCAAACATTCGATCTATTGAAATATGAGAACTTCTAGCGTCGATGTTGCGTGTATTTTAGTGTACAAGGTATCAGTTTGACTTGGACCTAGAATGTCCTGACGCGTCACACGTCGGTAGTGTCATACTGTTACATGTATGTCTTTCCCAGGATGCAAGGGGAACCACTGGTGAGTTCTCTGCAACCAAGGACATAACTAGTTGATCACTTATCTCCTTATAAACTAAATACCAATCAGCGCTTTCGTTTGTTCTCCTTCTCATATCTAATCATCCAAGCACAACATCTTACATTCATCCCACTCTGTGTACACTTTCATCTGGTTCCTCCCAGCTTTTAATCTTTTTCCGGTCATTATCACGTCTTCCAGCATCTTCAGTTGCTACATCCTAGAACCTCCCTTGCATGCTTCGGACCGAGTTCATCGCGACACCAATTCAGAAGCTAGAAGGGAGCAACATAAGGGTTGCCCAATTGGATCTTGCCAGAGCGTATTTGACTGTGATTTAGCATTGTTGTGATGGGTAAACCCAAGTACAAGTCTCCAAGTACTAAGAAATCACGTCTTAATTGTTCGATTTCGAAGCATGATGAACGTGAATCAAGACTACCCAATGCATGAGCTGCGAAGAAAGCCGAGCTCACCAAACGATATGGCCTTCCACCCGACGCGAAATTCCTATTCTTCAAGAAGGGTCGTCGATTTGGCCAGCCCCGCTTCAGCTTATCCTATGGGACGGTGGTATGCCTGGATCTGGATACATCGGAACTACTTCTTGTTGTACGATTTGTGGAGAGGAATGCAAACAATCAAGAGCTCTTTCAATCATACAATCATTCTATCCGCACCGTTTACCAGCATTCCAAAGCTAGAGGCGAAATCAAGATCAACGCGGCAACTTACCGAGCGAGGAGACAAGGTCGTAAATTTGGAAGGATGCACGCTGCAGGCTTTCGTCCGGGATATGAACCTGATGTGAAAGGAGGTGAGCAGCCATTCTCATCATCATCTAACCAACCACTGAACCTCATGATTGATTTACAGGACAGTATACGTGGAACACAGCCACAGCCTCAGACCTCTAAAAGATGGAAGCTGACCTGAAGCGCCAAGGCAACCTCCCCCAAATCGAATCCTTTTTTGCCGAACAATTCAGTGGCCTCTTGTTATCCGCCTTTGAATCAAATGCTACAATTGCTGCACGAGTTCAAGCGCCATCTTGGGGTAACGATTCCTTCTATGTCTCACCAAACGCCAAAGTATTTGGATCGAATATTACTGTCACCTTTGACAAATTTGCAAACAAGAAACATAAGGATCGAGATGCATCCAAATATGCATTTGGCTTTTTTGGTTTGGTCGATGGATTGACCGGTGATCTTTACCAACAAGGCTCATCAGCACCTTGAGGTGATACCATTGGATCCCGCTTTGTATTGGACGACTACAACTTTGACGTTAATCTCAATGCCTGTGATGGGGTTATCGAGATGGTGTGGAATTCACAAGTTCACCATCACACAACCCCTTCGAGAACTTATAATGCCAGCCGTGCACAAGTATCTCCGGAGCAGGCTGAAATAACAAGATTCGCTTGCTCTTGTCAAATTTCTCAAGCGCTGGTTGACCGAATTGATAAAGTGAGGTGTTTGTGTGCGGAGATGGGTGAAGAAGACTGGATATCATATAAGTCCTCTGTTTTGACTGGTTACAAGGAACAGGCACATAAAAAGATGAAGGCTTTAGCTGTGAAATTGGGAATATGGCGTGATGACTTTTAGTTTCATATTTTTTGTATCTTGCCAACAAAAAATTTAACCCGTTTGTCTCATCATAACCAATCCAAAACAATGGTAGTGTTTTATATTGATCATTTATATACGTATATAGCTATGTGTTTTCTTATTTGCCCAAGCATATATAATTCTGCTTGCTCTGTCGTGCAGAAACCGGGTGTAATCTGTCTGATTGTGACTTCACCATCATACGGATTACTGACAGCCAACTTATAATGTGGACGTGTGTGGTGTCCACTACTTCACAGGTGCACACATTAACACGCTCACCAGTTCACAAACTCACAAACTCACAAACTCACAAACTCATAAGTTTATAACTGCGCCTGTAAAGTTCACAAGTGTGTTTGGGGCCAAGTTCACAAGTAGGGCCTTCACAAGATCTCAAGTAGTGTCTTCACACTTTCACATGTTCACAAATGATGCCTTAACAAGCTCACACCTTCACAAGGACGCTTACGCCAAGTTCACACGTTCACCAGTCCGGCAAAGTTCACAAGTGTGTTTGGGGCCAAGTTCACAAGTAGGGCCTTCACAAGATCTCAAGTAGTGTCTTCACACTTACACACGTTCACAAATGATGCCTTAACAAGCTCACACCTTCACAAGGACACTTACGCAGTTGTGGACATGGACAGCACTTTCACCAGGGCACAAGTAGTGCCTTCACAAATTCACACGTGCCTTCACAAGTTCACACGTTCACCAGTTCACAACGTCACACGTTCACACGTTCACCAATTGACCTGTACATGTGTACAGTTGTGGACGTGCACAAGCGTACGAGGTCATGTTTTCATGTTCACAAGTTCACCAGTTCACCCGTATTTACAATGGTAAGCTGAGGTCAAACTTCACACCACACAAGTTCACAATGTGAACCCAAGCCTTCACAGCTTCACAGCCTCATTTTTGACTACTCGTTGACTTCACACTTTCACAAGGTCACAACCCCATTTCTTTGACATTATGGCATGTAACAAACGATACGAGAGAACAATACATTCATAATAGCTGGGTTTCATAGTTGTCACTGAGTCCGCTGGACATTCTTTTTGATCTTAATTTGTCTAATATCATCTTGACTCTATACATCTTTGGAGTTCCTTGTAGACTTTCCCGGTTTCTTTGGCTGTTTTTGATTTTCGACATACATAGCAAATATTATCCCAAAATCCAATATGTTGATGGTAACAAAACTTGGCCAAAGGACTAAACAAGAGAACAGTCAGTTTAGCATTCTACGTAGACTGTGAAGTTCTTACCCGGCGTCATCAGTTTGGCCTGTCAAAGGACTGGTCTCAAATAACAAAGGATGGATATGAGTATCCAACTTTTGTTCTTCCATAGGGGTGTGCCTACTTAGGTCTTGAAGGTCAAAAACACGTCGGAGATGATCGCCAAAGTTCACTCTAAGCTCAGACTTAGGTTTGAGTGTGGAAGAAAACGGATCACTGTGGCAGATGACTTCATGGTGAAGTCAAACTCCACATCTGTTTCGTCTAGTTTTGTTTGTGAGTCTCACCAGGGAATATTATCCTTGAGCTGAGCTTTATAAATAACGTTAACATATATATATATATATTGGATTTCATGGCTACATACAATAATTTTATTCACTACTGGTTTGCAAACCTGAAGATGAAGACTCGCTCGTTTGTGAATCTTGAGACTCTGAATGACTTTCAATTTCAATGATGAGGGGTTCGTAATCATCTCCACGCATTTCATCATGTCTTTGATATCTTTCTTTTCTGAGCTGCCTGGCTAGTATCGAAAAAATTGCCTGGTTGTCTTCATATAAACATGACCATGCCGATGACGCTTCATGGTGTAAGGAGGTCCATTCTTCAGATAAAGTTGGTATTGGGAGAGAAGGCGATAATTTGAGTTTGACGGATACGTAATGGTTAGTGCGGACATGTGCCATCACAATTGGTTTAATTTGAGGTTGTCGGGGAGCAAAAAATGGGTATGTGGTCGACGTGGCGGCATCTAGTTTGGTATAAAAGAGCACGGGTTGCTGGTAGGTATTGGCAATGAGTGCCATTCCACCAGGCATAGGATAGTATAGGTCTGGCCCTGCTGTGTCGCGTGGGTTTTGGAGTATCTGGAGGAATCTTGTAATGGTGTAATTCGGGCAGAGTGTTGGAAGGTGTTGTTTGTACCATTCGTATCTGGATGTGAGCTCAGCTTCCATCTCCTTGCGAATGATTATTCGTTCTTCTTGTGGGCGTCCGAGAGAGATAGCGATGGAACGAAACACGCATAGATCATCGCCAAGGACATCTGTGACGTCAATTAGGAAGGGGTGTATGTAGGAAGGGAGTTCACCTATACAAGGGATAGGCTACTATCGTGGGACGGGTCACCATGGGACAAGTGATCGATTGAGACAATTCATTGACGCATACCTGTTGTGACAAGCTACAACTTGCTGCAGGATCATTCTCTGGGTATGCGGAGCCGGGTTGCGACTACAAATTATATACATGTTTGAAATTAAATTGGGGATAATTCATTCACAGATCGAAATCAGCAATTAATTGAGATAAAAACTTACATTAGGAAGTGGAGCTGTGAGATCAAGATCTGAAGAGGATCGTGACATACTATTAGGCTTTGAGGGAAGGCTTGGAATAATGGTAGATGGTGGCTGGTCGGTTATTGTAGGCTGGCCTGTAGCGGGAGGTGTTGTAGTAGGTACGTCGTAGGTATCTCCTGATTGACACTTTGCTTTGAGGCGTGCTGAGACTGGACGCTTGCCGGAACGGGAAGCTGTAGCTGTAGATGTTTCACCATTGACAGGATTGACAAGTTTGGCAGCGGATTTGTGCTTGCCTATGTTTGTCACAGCTTCTTTTGCAGGTTGGGCTCTGTCTTTGAGTCGAGCTGAGGATCGAGCAGCCGGAGGTTGAGCCGAGGCCTTGCGCTTCTTGTCCTTCTTTGGATGAGACGCTGGAGTAGGTTGAATATTTTCAAGTGTCACTGGTTCATTTTCTTTGTTTTTGTGTCGACCACCTTTCTCTTGGGGCTGTGGTTCTTGTGAGTTGGCTGTATTACGATTGACGTCTCCTACATTTTCAGTTGCATTAGGCGATTCATCTTGTTGTACTTGGTCAGTTATTTTAGGCAATTCATCTTGTTGAGTAACATTGTTTGGACATTCGAAATCCAAAGGTGGGGGTGTGGAGAATGTGCATGGCTTTTGTGTTTGGGGTGGGGATTTGGTTGTTTCGTCGTCGATGGCATGGCCTATGGAAGTGTCGAAAAAAACTTCACTGCCAATTGGTGATAAGGTTGAGGTTTTGTCAGCTTTGTCTTCTTTTGGGGCATCGCGTGGTAAGGAAGGAGGTGGCTCTTCATTGGTCCGGTCCAAGGAAGAGCAAGGAGGTGTTAGAATCATCCAAAATCGATTTGATCCACGATTGAACATGTCATATGCTCACCTTTGCAGTCAAAGTGGTAGGTAACAATTCAGGTACTGGGGATCTTTCAATTTGAGGGGAAGATTTTTCAGTGAGGGTAGCAGCTTCTGGATGATGATGATGATGTATGTTAGCTGATTCACTGCCAATTGGTGATGTCGTTGAGGTTTTGTCAGCTTCGTCCTTCTTTAGGGGGTTGCGTGGTAAGGATGGAGGTGGCTCTTTGTTGGTCTAATGCAGAGAAAGGAGGTGATAGAATGATCCGACATCAATTCATGTCACGATTAAAAGTGAGATATGCTCACCTTCGTAGTCAGAGTGGGAGGTAACAAGTCAGGAACTGATGATCTTGCTATAACAATTTGAAGGGAAGGTTTGTTGGTGTTTGTAGCAGCTTCAGGGTGATGATGTATGATAACTGATGAGGCGTCGATTTTGCTGGACTTTGGTTTGTGTGTGTTAGTAAGGTCACCCTCGTGAGGGTCAAGAGTGTGTTTGGGCGTGTTCAAATGGTCATTTGTGATTGTGTTCAATTCAGCAAGCTCTAATTCCTGCTGAAAACTATCAAGGAGTGAGTTGCGGGTAGCTTTGTCTAACCTTTGCATGCGTGTCATGAATAAGTTCATCTGCTCGAACATGGTTGGGGCAATTTGTGTGATTGGGGCAGCTGGGGTGATGTGTACAGTTGGAACAGTTGGAACGGCTGGAGCAATCGGTGTAGCTGGAGTTGTGATTGATGGAGGAGGAGACTCGATGATGATAGCTTCTGATTTAGGTTGGGCTCGGCGTTGAACGGAAGGTCGCTTATGGATAGGTTGGTGATCATGACGAGGTTCATGGACTGTAAATGTGCATGGGGCATTTTCGGAGGTGCGAGTGGCTTGAGTGTAGAATGGGCATGTGCCAGGTGATGTTTTATGTTGAGTCCGGCCTTTGAAACATTTGAAATCTACATAGGTTGGGCGGGAATCAAGAATCGAGATGGTGTAGCCTAGCGAGACGGTATGTTTATCAAGGTTTTTGATGAGATCTTCAATGTTCTGAAAAAATCCAGGTGGTGGTGGTGGTAAATTCATGTTCAAAGGAGGTATGAGCTGCTGAGTGCTAGGGGGGTGACCATGATGAGAGTTATGAATGGTAAGTGTCCATTCTTCTGATTCTGAGTCTAACTCGCATGTTGCTTTGGCGTAAAAGGGACAGGTTCCTGGATTTTCTTTGTTTTGGTATCGACCTTCGTAGCACTTGTAATCAATGAAGTGGGGACGAGAATCGAAGATCGAGATTTGGTAGTGAAGTTGTGTGGTGAAGTTGTGAATTTGTGTATCTGAGGTTGAGTGCATCTAAGCCATTGTGAGCTTGTGAGTGGCTTGTGAACGGTTTGTGAGCGTGAAGTTGAGGGGAACTTATGCTATTTAGATGACGCCAGATGCATCCCATGCATCTGGGATACATCTGGCAGTGCGAACAGAGAGACTGGGATGATACAACATGCTGTATCTTCGGGTCGGGGCCGAAGTTTTAGTGTACACAAGGTGTGGTGTTTTATAATTCCAAGCTCTCTTCACATAGCAACTTATGCTGCACAACCCAATCATGACTTGTTTATTCATTTTATCGGTCTATGTAAGTTCATAACGTGGAGCAAAGTGAGTCTTCACTGTTGCCTACGATAGAATATGGCCGTATTTCAGTTTCATGTCCCTTGTTGTATAGGCCTGAGCTAGGCATGATTCAACAAGTACAAATATCACTTGGGGAGACATAAACAGGAAGTGCTGATAACCCAAGTTGAGTTGTGAATGCTTCGCAAATCGTCCTGTAGACAGGGAATTTACAAACAAGAACGGAAAGCGTTCAGAGACTATGGGAGTAAAAAACAAGAACGGAAAGCGTTCAGAGACTATGGGAGTAAAAAACAAGCGGGGACGCCTGCTTTCATTTTACATACTCAAGTCTAGATCTGAATATGGCGTCCAGTATTCAAAAAACTGTGGTAAGCATAGAGAAATCAAAGTAAGGGAATAGACAATTTGTTTTGATCTTGCTCAACAGCCCAAACTAAATAGCCATCCACGTCATGTGGGAAATAGGACCAAAGAACGGGATAAATACGTTTATACTACGTACTACCCGAACAACTGAAGCAAGCTCACGAAACTGTATATACCGTGCCATATATCAAACATGCATTCTTCAGTTAACTTGTGAGAGACGTCATTATATTCAGTGCTCAATCAACGGCATAATTAAGGATACAATAGGAATCTACAATCTATCTCCCGCACAAAGATTGCAGTCAAACAATTGGGTAGTGATCAAAGTAACGCACTACTATCGGTAAGGCAGGCGTGGTCTATAGTTGATCGCAAGGTTCTACGGCTCTCTGTTAAAAGCCACAGGAAATTTTTCCAATGCAATTCTAAATCAATTCACCAGAAGCTGTGTTTGCAACTAAAAACATTCTAAAACGGGCAAGAAGTCTATAAAACTCAAAGTAAATAACAAGGAGGAAGGAGGTACACTTGTGTATGGCATTGCACCAAATTTAAAAGGAAATGTTGACTTGAACACAGATACCAATAAAGGAGGGAATCTATAGGTGAAGATGACAACAACAACTAAAACTCAAAAGGTGTACTATTCTTGCAAATCACGCATGGTAAATAAAACAAGTTACATAATTGTCTTGCCTTTCTTGATGTTTCTTCCCAATACTGATTTGTTGGGTACATCGGCAGGCAGGAGATGTTTTTGAATGGGAGCGGATTTGCTTTCGGTTGCAACATTGGGCTTGCCTTTTTTGAAGCTGAAGAGAGGCATGATAGTTAGCTGCCAAACAAGGTATGATCAGCTCCAGAGTATGACAATGCTCACAACTTGCCCCTAGGTCTCCCTGAGGGCATTTGTACAATGTCTTCAACTTTAACAACGGAAGACAATTCTTTGGATGATTCTTGACCGCTGGTTAAGTTAATCCCAGTCACCTACAAAGAATGTGTGGTTGTGACGCAGGCACAAGGATCAAGCGTGGTCTATTTCATAGGAAACCAGCGGATGCCCTGACAGCACATAGTTGTCGTCAGTGATGAGTAATCACTCAAGAACGGTTGAGCGCACCGACTTTTGTCCCGAGAAGGGACTTTCCTCAAAGAGGTTATGTCCCCCTCTCACAAGTCCCTCCCGCGCTCACAATTCTTCTGAGAATCTTCCACCGCTTCCTCTCGCCTCCTCATCCGCCTCAGTTTCTCTCTCTGCCTCGTTGTAGCACTACAAGCCTTTTTTGAACTGCAAGCCTTTATCAAACAAAAATGAGATCAAATAGGCAAAACCTAGGTTTAAGACCAGAATATAGTCCAGAACCAACACAACCAAACTCAGACATGTTAGTTCTGGATTCAGATGGTAATTGGAACATAGAAAATACTTTAGAAGAAGAAGAAAGAATTAGAAATGAAGATGAAGAAGAAAAACAATTAAATGAAAAAGGAAATAGCAGTGAAGCGATTGATGATTCAGAAGGTGAAGAAATTAAAATAGTGAAGAACAAATCAAAAATTAAGGACATCAACTGGTGATCAGATGAAGAAGATTCTTCATCATCAGGTTCAAAAGACAAGTCGATAAAGTTCAACCAAAGTAAGCAAAACATTTCACAGATTTATTCCGAACAAGTATCTAGCAAAGCTTTTGAACAACAGTCATGATATATTCCAATTATTCTGTGATTTATTCCAGGATGTAATTCGTGATTTAGTCCGAATGGTTCTCTCTAGAAACAAAAGAATATCATCTAAAAATAAGAATCTGATGATTGACGATTGGTGACGCTGGAACGAGGAATCAAACATGTCCATCCCAAGTCTATAAAGCTCTTAGGAACACCGGAGCGAGGAAGACAACCACAACCTGCGAGTGTCACTGCCAACATAGATGCCTCGGGTTGCGGAATCCGAGGCATCATTGGAGGTAAAACCTCGGACAAGGTCTGTCCAAGGTTTTTGTCCAAGGTAATCTTCTGCGCTGGGAATTGCCTTGGATCAAAACCTCGGACAGCTTCTGTCGGAGGTTGGTAATCCAATAATACCTCGGATTGAAAAATCCGAGGTAAATATGTTGGTGGTGTGTAATAGGAGACTGTGGCAGGACGTGATTAGTCCTGCCCTGGATTAGCTGATTAGTCTTAGATGAGTCTGAGTTCTATAGATGACTCTCTCTCCTCTTTTCCGTTACTTGATAATTTGAGATTCTCCTCACACTCTCACTGTTTCCTCTTAAGACCTCTTCTCCGCCCGTGTTCAAGAGGAGATCCCTCCGAAGAGGTTCTCTAGGACTCAGACTCATCTAAGACTAATTAGCTAATCCAGGGCAGGACTAATCACGTCCTGCCACGGTCTCCTATTACACTCGCAGGCTGTGGTTGTCTTCCTTGCTCCGGTGTTCCTAAGAGATTTCTAGACTTGGGATGGACATAATCGATTCCTCGTTCCAGCGTCACCAATCCTCAAGTAAATTATGCATCAAGTCTAAAACTTGATATTCAATGATGTTCCAGTAGTCTAGTTATATAAGTACAGAGTAGCGTACTCCGTGGGTCTTGAAGATCTTCTTTCGCTCCTTCACTGTCTTTGCATCTCGAGCCTTGCGTGCCCATTGGGTATGCTGGCACCATGTACGAGGCGGCCATGAAGTTTTGTCAGGGTTGTTGATATCTTTCTTGGTGAGAAGGCAAAACGAACAAAAGAATGTAGCCATTGCACTAGGGAAGCCAAGGCATTGGCGGAGAGAGGGTATATCAGCTACAAATATCAATAGCGCTGCTCATATAAGGCGTCCATTCTTGTAATTGTGAGTCCGAGAGATGAGCAATCCAGAAGACCATAGCGATTGAAGTTCCGTGACAAGTGGCTGAAGTATCCAGTTCATCTGCTCAAGAGAAGGCTCGCAAGGCCCAGGCACAATTCCAACCACAAAGATGTTTTCAGGTTGATGTTGGAGTTCAGGAGGCAAGCCAAGACAAACTAATATAACAAAGGTGATTGGAGTGTGATGTCCACTTTGCTTATTACCAAATGGATTGATTGCATCAACAAAGAGAGCAAATGTCAAATGGCTAGCGTTCGCCTTAAATTGTGTCCCATCAGGACCAAGAAACTCCTTCCAAAGCCGGGATTGATATATATGATGGTTTTCAGCCGTTGGATCATACGGCTTGGAAGATCCAGATAATGTTGTTTCAAGCAATTCCTGAATCTGCGGGTGGGAAAGAAGACGGGAAATCCAATTGGAGAGCTTCTGGAATGCATAATGTTGAGCTGGCTTTTCGTGGCCACGGACATACTTCAGAAGAGGCTCGCCGCAAATTGTCTCCATAAAATCGGGATCAGAGACCAAGTCTTCTGATGGTAAGGAGTCACTGTTGTTGTTTGGATTGACAGACTCAGGAGGACCTCCAGGGATTTTTGCAATACAATGTTGACATCGAGTTGGAGCAAGCGCCTCCGGGTACATAGCAAAACACAAATTGCAGCAATTCATAAACGTGAGCACTGGATCCAACTCCAACCATCCAAATGTGGTAGTGACTGAGCTTGGGATATGCTTGAGAGTTTTAGCTTCTTCCAGCAAAAGTTGACGGTTTTGAGACTTAGTTCGCAAGATTCCATACATGGTCAAAAGCTCAATTGTGACGCTTTGAACATCCAGAATCCACTTTGTTATTGAATTCAAAGATCTTCCAAATATGTCAAGAATTGCTGTGGTGAGAGCCACATGAAGAATAAGAGGATTGATGTGTTTCAATTCAAAAGTATAGAAACGGTCTGTTGAAGATAATGACATCAAACATTAACCAAAAACAAGACTTCGAAGATTGGACGGCAAAAATAAGTATTCAAATGGACACATACCACAATCAAAGACCATCTGGCCAGAAACTTTTGCTAAAACTGCTTCACTGCACGTTTTAGTAGACTCTTGCTGGGAATTGATGGGATAAGATTCAGCAGAGGCGTTGATAGATTGATCTTGATGCTTGGATGGACTGGCATGGCTTGGAGGATGGTGATCGGAGGTATCTGTATTTGTCCAATGTTTGCTTTGTTGATGTGACTTAGAATTTAGACCCGGAGAATATGTTGATGCAAGATCTAATTGTTTTAACGCAAGAAGCAGTTCTTCCTGAGCAAAAGACCTCTTGTCTTGCGTAGAAGAGCTTGAGGCTTCATATAAGTGACCAGTTGAATGAGGTGGCTCAGTTAGATTGTTGCAAAAGTCGGCTCGTTGATGGGCAGCACAAGTCTCCGGTAAAACTTCAAGACCTGCTTGGTAGGTTCCATTGGCGTCCAGGTATACTTGCTCACCGCAGTGTTAGGTTGTACAAAGACATACAACTCTATGGGGTTGGTGGGTCAGACTTTGGCACGGAGGCATGGAAATAGTACAATCAAGAACTGAAAAAGATGAATTTCACGTGTGGTCTTACGCAATAAGAAAATGGGAGTCCGATGTCATCAAAGGGTTGAAGATCTCCCAGGAAATCCTGAATTGATAAGGGGGCGTGAGAATTTTCCGAACATCATTTTGCGAACAACAATGTCCGTAAAAAGTGGTGTTCGGAAAGTTCCACTTTCCCCCGGACAAAGTGAAATTTTACAGACATTCCATTATTTCAGAAGTCCGCAAAAGGAAGTTACGCAAAATATTGTATGTAAAATTGGATATTGAGAGTCCTAAATGTGGAATTTCCCAAACTTTAACAACCAACGTTTATATTTTGTAAAAAGTGAAGCACGCAAAACTGTATAATGATTCCCAAAAGTACAATTTCCCGAGCGTTCGTTCACAAACATTATGGTTTGTGAAAAATGGTGTTCGGAAAAGTCAATTCCGGGCCATTATCTGAAGACTTTTACAGACATTATTTCATTACGGTCACGGACAATTTTTACAGGTTGAACTTGGGTAAAAAAAAAGGGGAAAAAATTGAAAGAACAAACACGTATGTATCACTGTAAACATCATTCAACTTCCCCAATTTGGCAGAGGAAAATGATTAATAGTACAGTTTTTCATAAAAGAATCTAATACTGCACACCTGGGCCATTTCACCCACACTACATATGTGCAGCAAGCTAAGTCAATAGTTGTCTATCATGTACATACAGGTCTGCTCAGTTTTTTGCCCATCAGAATAAATAAATCACATGTTATACCACATGTAACTTTTTCGACTTTGAATTTTTTTTCCCAAAAATTCACTACATATAATTCTGTAGCTGCTCAGGCAATATTGTTGAAGCTATGTCTTAGTAACAGAAAGTGTGTTACATGCAGTTGAGTTGATGAGATCACACCAAAACATTGAGTCAGTGTATGTAGTCAATCTTTTGGAAGCTTTTTTCAATCTGAAAGAAGTTACAGCATGTATTACATATGAATAACTTGTCCTGATGAGCAGATAACTGAGCAGAACTGTATGTACATGATAACCACATATTCACTGAGCCTGCTACACATATGTAGTGTGGGTGTTATGGCTCAGGTGTGGAGTGATAGACCATTTTATGACAAATCATACTCCCAATCATTTTTCCCTGCCCACTTGGGGAACCCGAATAATGTCTGCAGTGTATGACTATAAATGACTGTAGCGAAAAGGGAAATAATGATATTTTGAAAGCAAGAATAATCAAAGAGGGAAAATGACGGAAAAGTAACCCAAAACAAGAACAAAGAAAAAGCAAGAAGAAAGAGGTAGACTACATCTTCTGCTTCTTACGCTTTGACTTCCGCACCTTGCCACTCGCCTTTGACTCTTGGCTGCTCCCTTTGACAGGCTCATCCAAGTCTTCCGCCTGAACCTCGTTCACATCAACGATGGTCCAACCTGTCCAACCTTTCCGTTTTTTTTTGGTTTTTTCTGGTCACAAAAAAGAAAATGGTGAGCGGAAGAAGGACCAAAATCAAGCTCTACAAATGCACACCAGTATCGGTGCCAGAGTTGCCACTTGGGTGGGTGCCAGCAGCCTCATCAGCTTTACGCTTCTTCCCCGTAACCTGCTTGACAGTGTTTACAGTCCCTACATATATGTGAATTGATGCAAAATAAGTAATACAACAACAACAGAAGAAATGTGAAAAAACCGACCTGTGTGTTCTTCGTCTACGTTTTCATCCTTTCCATCAGACTTATCAGCCTTACGCATCTTCTGTGTTGCACCTGATTCTGCGTTTCCATCCAAACAATCCTTACGTACACTCTGCTTAAACTTCTTGGCTACAGTGGAGTGAGTACCGCGCGCTTTGTCGTCGGAGGAGCTATCTAAGCCGCGTTCCTCCGCAGTCAGGTTGTCTTTAGCCTTTTGTTTGGTGATCTTGCGCGCCGGTTTCTTCACCTTGACTTTAGCCTTCAAAGTCCCTATTCCTATTACAAACAAAACACGGATTAAGATTAAATCATGAAATCCAAAGAAAATGAAAACAGCCTACCAATCTGGGGTTGTCCATCTGGAAGTTGTACCTCTACGTCGGACAAAAACAAATCTTCCAAATCGACTCCCTTCAGAAGTTCCTCGCTCACACCGACAGGGTCCTGATTCTGCTCATCTTCCAATCTTCAAAGTCTATGTTGAATTTCCGGTGCGGTTGACTCCAATCCTTTCTGAGAAAATGGCAGGTCGCCTTCGTGGTTGTCCCCGAATTCTTTTTGAATCTTGACATTGGCTGTTTCTATTATCAATGCCTCGGCAGTTGTTGGAGCTTGAGAATACATTACCCAGTGTGTATCAGCCACTGCCCCTCCAATAGATGTCAGTTCCCGACTCTCCAATGTAGCAATGCCTTCATTGATAAGGTCATTGTGATACCATACACCTGAAAGACCCCCAACTGTACGCACTACCTTGCACCAGTAGTGTCCCCTTGCATAGAATCCACGAGCCCGCATCCAGTAGGTGACACCGTGCAGCGTGAGTTCGTAAGGTAGATAGCATTCGTCAGTCATTTTCTTCGCTTCTTCAGGCTGCGAGGCTGTTAAGGTAAGCACATCAATCAGCAAGTATAGATGAGGTGGTGCTGGTTGAAATTCAATACGTGTCCTTTCAAACAAGGGTGGTGCTCGTCGTGGTTGAGTCGAGTTGGCGTCTTTATTGACGGGGCAGGTCAGACAGTGACGAGCGGAGATACGTCGAAGGCCTTCTTCAGATGTCAAACGCTGTAGAAGCTCCGGCGTATCTGAGTATGCAATTGACAGAATATATCAACCACCAACACCATAATATTCAGGCGTGAGAGCAATACAATCCAATGGAATATTCTCATTGGTAACATGCGCGAAACTTTCAGAGCAGACTAGCTTGCGTTGACGTGCGATTCGGAATAGCTTCTGAGTTATTGCGGGCGCTTGAGGTTTAGACTGTAGGCCTTGAATGTCAAATAAGGCTTCAAAATATTGTATAGCAGAAGCATACTCGTCATACTTGAATCCACCAGGGTAAACCTTCTGGATCGCCGCGTGAATTTTGTTTTGACCCAAGGAGAGAATTTGCCGTATGCTGCCGGACTGATGGACTTCCCAGGTCGCTCGTGAGGAAAATATATTCATCAACTTGTTGAATATATGAACTGAAACCCCCTTGGACCCGGTGAACCAATATGGAGTGTATAACGCGTACAGGCACTCGGACATTGAATTCATCCAGCACCGGTTCTTTCGAGTGGGAAGCAAGGAGCTTTGGAAGCCTTGAAAAGTCGTAACTGGGTTACGGTCCACGTTGACAGAGCCTTTAGGTCTGCCACCTTTATTAGATTTCTTTCCAAGCAAAGCTTCAGTGGTGTCCGGTGGTCGTCCATCATTCTTGGTCTCACAGCGGTTTCGAGCTTTCTTGGCCCACCCAAGAATCTGTGCGACTTTCTCATAGTTCTTAGTCAAACCATAAGCTATTGAAACTCCTCGTCACAGGTCATGGTAGTCTCTCTCGAGGCTCATGACCAAAGCGTAGAGCTGGACGAGCCCGACTTGGATGGTACAATTACCTTCACTACAATTGAATAAGTGAATAAATAACGGAAGAACAATGAGGTGGTTAAAGAGGACAAAAGACGCATGAAATCATGTAATAAACCCGGTGCATTGATTCCTGCGCGTTGGTTGTCTCAGCCATATCATTGTCAAGGTCGTCATCGTCGATTTGTTTGCGCCTGGATTTGAACAGCATGGCCTGCACGTCGGATGCTTGCCACCAATTGATCCACCTTTTGGCTTTGGGGAACTTGCGGTGTAATAAATCAACCTTGACATCAAAAGAATCTTCTCCAGATGTGTTCGGGTCACAGAGACTCATGGCGAGATCCTCGAATTCTCTCTGTAATGGGAGCGAACAGTGTGGCCTAGTCAGGATCCGGAAAATTGTAGATTAAGATAATTAAAAAGAAAACCAACCTCGTATCCCCTTGCGATGATGGCATTGTTTCTCTTCACACGAGTGACCTGAGCACAAAAGTGCTCCTTGCACCCGGTCAACTTGGAGATTGCAACATTACGGTCCGACTCATTAAAGACCTTCATGTAAGCCCCAATGAAACCATTTTTTTGTGCCATAGAAAAGTCAACACATTGTCGAACCAGTGTGTCACACTCGGAAATGGAAAATTGCGAGTCTTTGATTTGTTGCAAGAGGGTGGTGAAATGCGCCAGATAATGGTCATCTGTCAGCCCATTCATCCACGTGAGTTGAATGGGAATCCAACGATGGAGGACCTCATTGTACATTGAAGTCGAAAGAAGGTACCCGTTCACAAAGAACTTGTACGTGACGTCCGACAGTAGGCCGCCTTTGTACACACCACCGTCGACGCGTGTGAGAAGCTGTTCCGCCATCCATTCCGTTTGGAATGTCATGTGAGTCATCTTGGGCATAAAAGATGTTGAAATCACACGAAGTCCTCGTCTGAAAAAGGAAGAAAAATCCAATAGAAAGAAAAGTCAATTGAATTGCTTTTCATTCAGTTGTGAACGTCAATTTGCTTACTCGACCCAGTGAATCATGTCTAATACAAAGCTGTCGCCTCCACCGGGATTATGCCATGCTGCACCAAAAGAATACGGCGGTAATATCCTAGGCGATGCAAATTGCTCAGTGCCGGATGAATGTCGGTAGATGTCGTTATCGCAGTCTTTCCTGCGGGAGCTTGCCCAACCTGAATGTTACATGCAGATGATAAGTTACTTATTTACTTTTCGATGGAAAGATGGAAAGGAACAACTTAGAAACATAAAACTTACCTTGTGTTGTAATGGTCCCAGATCGGGATTCTCAACCACCTTTAGTGCAAAGGTTGCTAAGGCCAGCTTGTCGGGTTTGCTACGCCGTGGCCATGGATGCTTGTGAATACCTGAGTGTCGGACGATGACCCATCCAGATGGAAGGTGCTCGTCCACTCGGCAAATCGTACCAACGCATGGTACCAGGCGAAGATAATCTGGGCACATCGCCGCCGGGCATTTATGGGATCTGTTTGCAAAGATTTTGATCAATTAGTAAGTGGTGTGTAACCAAGTCTGACGCTAAATAAATGTACTCACTTGGTTTCCCACTCGGCTCTCTTGGAATTGGATGTGGGAGGCGCGCCAAGAAAGTCGCAGTCGCGATTATTGCACATTGTTACACCTAGGCAGGTGAACCGGACAGTTCGCCAGTCAAATCCTTCCTTTTTACCCCCGCCAGAAGTAGTACTAGAGAAACCGAAAGAACACCAGTTGGTATACGTTCGGTTGGGTTGTTTGACAAAGACAGTCGAGCCATTGGGAAGTAGAGGGTAACCTTCAGCATCGAGAGTAGTGCCGTGATCAATGAAGGTTTGAAAGCCCGGGCGATCAAATGGTAGGCCAAAAGTTTTTTTGCCTTTTTTGCCATGTTTCTTACGTTGACTACTTGAATTACTATTTGAATTACTATTCTTGCTGGTCTGAGAAGAGGGTCCAGTTGGTTCGTCTTCATCTTTGTGATTTTCGGATAAAGATTGCCCTTTACGTAATTCAAGGTCCTGTTCTCTTGCAATAGCAGACCATTTGGAATCGTAGCCGTCGTCGTCCTTGTCGTGGGTCTCAGAGCCCTCTTCCTCAGAGTCAGAGCCTTTAAAGTAGTCGCTCGGCCACTCGGTTTCGGATTCGGACATGTCGGATGTAAGTTTTTTGAAAAATCTGTGAGATGAGTTGAGATGACTTGAGAATTCTTTCAACAATTCGATTGAGAATTAGAGAGTTTTTTTTCAAAATCAAGATGAAAACCAATTAAGGAAAAAGAAAATTTGAAGCAAGCGTTTTGGAAATTTAAAATATTAGTGTTGCGTTTGCAGAGAATGATTTATATTAGATTTGATAATGTGAATAAATGTGCGATGAGGTAGTTTGTTTGATTATAACAAGAGAAGAGATTGTTTGCTTGAATATGACCAGAGAAACAACAAAAACGACTGATAATGGCCAGTTGTTCATCCCAAAGACTTCCTCTACAACGCCGTGAACCACCTTTAGTGGGGCTCAAGACTTCCTCAACATTAATCCACAAACGAAGGCGGTTAACGGTCTTCCTCAGGATGTTCAAACCGAACGAAGGCCGGTAACGGTCTACGTTCAAGACCACCTTCAGTGGCATGCAAAACTGCGTAAAAGTGCCCAGTAAAGCCACCTTCAGTGGCCCATGGGAGTTTGTTTGGATAAGTAATGGATCCGCACGGTTGTTTTCAATTTTACGATGAGTGGTTTGCAACCTTGTTGGTGGTCTGTGAAGTGACGGATGTAAAATTCGACAATGTGCCGGTCTGTGATACAATTCCGGACAATGTTTTGTGCGATCTCGGATGGTCGGGTGTGTAAGCATGGAAAAGTATATACTGTATGCACATGTAATCAATTTTTCAGGACTTTAATTTCCGACTGTTGTGTTACATACAACCTAAAATTTGAGATTGTATGTAAAAATTCACTTTCTCCAGGCAAAAGTACATTTTTGCGAACATCACTCTTTGCGAACATTGACGTACGTAAAACATAGTTCGGAAAAATACACGATCCCATTGATAAGTGGCCTGTGTGACTTTCCATCCTCACATCACCCAGATGTCATAAAAGGATTGATGATCTCCTAGGATATTGTATACTGCCAATAAATACATCAAATGATATATTTACAAGCCGGTTGTGCACAAATCTCATACCCTGGTGACTATATAGATACACAATCTTTCAACTTGCTCGTATGATCACTTCAACTTCCGCATCAAGAATAAGTCTCATCATTTTTCCACCGGCTTTTTGAAAAATCATCACTCCTTTTCATTTTCAAATTATCTGATCATTCATGCCGCCCAAACGTCCCAAGCTTCCAACTAGTAGTAGTAATACACGGGTCCTCCGCAGTCAACATGTTGATGTCGCTGCTCCTAGGGCTCCTCGCAAGGCTAAGAAGGTCACACCAGTCCGGCAAAGAGATGAAAGTGTTTCACAATCAGAATCTAATGAATGTACATACATACCACTTTCCCATGTTTCTCCTCTCCGCTCAAGACTAATTTGTTTTGCTGTGACACAGCTTCCGAGAACGCAGAAGAAGTGGCGGTGCCATGTCACAAAAGGACCCGGGCCAGGTTGCTCGAAATTCTTGGCAAGAAAGTGAAGAAGAAACTGCGGCTTTCAACTTTCCGGAAGCCACTGACACTACCACCTCTACCTGAAGATTTCATAATCAACCGTCCTTCAAATCAACAGGTTGACTACAGTGAATACACCAGTACCGAGCTAATTGACATGCTACATACCGTAGGAGTAGATACTAGAGGTTTTGACCAAGGCAACCTTTTGCAAAGTTGCCACTCATACACCGACTTAAGTGAGCAAGATGCGTAATTATAACGTGAGCTCTGCTAACGACTCAACTATATACTTTATCTAGTCATTCCTCCCTCCCCCGCAAATTTGAACTTTGGTCAACCTTCAATACATCAAAATCTTTTGACTATTCATGCAAGACCCCAGCAAAAACCACTCTTGATATAACTATCCAACAGGGTAGGTTTGTATCGACATACAACTTTTGAATATGTAGAGTAGTTGACCATTTAATGTTTTTTTTTCAATTCACTAGAGACATCTACACACATACCCGAGAACACCAGGACTAATACAACTGAAGCTGGCCCTTCAGTCTCCTTCCTTCCAAGCTTAGAACATCGCCGTTTTCTATACCCTCGACCACTTCCTACCAACCTTCCATCAACCGCTTCACTGTTGAAAACAGCTTGCAATAAAGGGAAGTCAAAAGCAAAGTCAACAACCTCTTCTCAGTCTGATTGGGCACCATCAGAGGGCATTGCAAACGACTTCGATTGTGACTCAGATTCCAAAATTCCCCCAGCTCCAAACTTCGGAGAACAAACCACGTCTTCCACTCATAGACCCGCAGACAACACCCGAAAAGACAGGTAAGTGAATACTCTGTTCAAACTCAGCCCTTGAAGAATATTTGAAGAAACATGAATTGAATTGTTCAAAACTTTCCCCACAAAGCTCGACGACTCCCAACAACAGACCATTGGATTTAGACACTCTTCATATTCTCCTGATACAAAGTAACCAGAAGGTGGAATCGCTCAAGACCAACTCAAAAGCCTTGACTCAAGTGGTACACAATTTAGCTGGTGTGTATGCCAAACAAGGTACTCCTCAACCAAAAAGATGTGGTGGCCGCACAGCGGTAAGTTCTTGATCTGTATACCACATGAACCTAATCAATGCATCAAGCATCTGATCACATAAGTTTTTTCTTGATCTTTGTAGGATCTTATGCGGTTTCACATTGATACTTTGATTGGACTACCGGAAGGTTCAAAACTTCCATCTGCAGCAAATCCAACACAGACCAGTACAACGACCTCACCAGAAGAACCTTCTACCAGCGGCACTGAAGAAAACCTCGATCCATGCTTCCCACACAAGTACAGGCCTGGGCATAAAGACGCAACTCCTCAGCAAATTCAGATCATGCACCAAATGCTTGCAGACGTTGGTATTTCAAGTTTCCGTCTCGACTTCAAGAAATCAATGACCACACAGGAAAACCGATGGGTGTGGAATGACTGCTTAAATATCTTTCATAAGTTGAATGTGGGGAGTATAAGGTTGTTTCTGTCGGTGGCAAGAATGAGACCTTCATCAAAAAGTGCTTGGATACCTATGTCCAATTGCTATCAAAGAGGTAAGCTCATAATCTCTTTCTAGTCACTACTGAACTTGCTGAACTTGCCTATTGTGTTGAGAGTCCTGAGGGATGGTGGAAAAGACTCTGGATCAGAGATTTTCCTCTCTCTTGTTTGTGATCTCTCTCTCTGGGCCTAGACTTTTCCCGCTAGGCCCGGGCCTTCGAGTCTTTGACCCTTGGGGCCTTTCATCCTCAGTCCTCATGGAACTAACGGATACTGTCGTGCCTTTGGGCATCCGTCACATTCAGATCATGCACCAAATGCTCACAGACGTTGGCATTTCAAGTTTCCGTCCTGACTTCAAGAAATCAATCACCTCACAGGAAAACCGATGGTTGTGGAATGTCTGCTTAATTATCTTTCATAAGTTAGTTTAATGTGGGGAGTATAAGGGTGTTTCTGTCGGTGGCAAGAATGAGACCTTCATCAAAAAGTGCTTGTATACCTATGTCCAATTGCTATCTAAGAGGTAAGCTCATAATCTCTATAATATTCCCAGGCCTCTATGTGGAGCTTACTCTGTACATGACATATGGTGTCAATTGTCCTATTTCTAGATTTTGTTTGCAATCTTGGGATGCTGAACGACTGACAAAAGCGCAAAGCAGAGTGCAATAATGGTCTAGGCTCTGCCAGGCGAGTATCTTCACCTTCAATTCATTTTCCGAATAACTAATCAGTTGTACACATCCTCTGCATACCCGAATAAAGCTGAAGAAATTGAGAGACAAAGCAATCTTCTCAAAACCGGATCAGCTTTTCAAGCTCGCCAAAATCATGCAAGATGCTTGCAGTGACGACGAGACTGACCAGGAAGAAATCAGCAAAGGGCAACAAAGGAATGGACTTGGCTGCCTAGTTTGAGTTCTCAATTGGCGTAGCAAAAAGTTAACATGTTTGTGTATTCTCCTAGATGAATACGTGGAGCAAAGAAAGGCTAGTATTCCCAAGGTGGTTGGAAAGAAGCCTGGTCGCCCTCTACGACCTCGAGTCCGCCAAGAAAATGCGCCTAACAGCACTATATTAGCCCCACCGGGACTACCTATTGACTGCTACTGCTCAACCTGGCTTCAACGTCTGAAAGATAAAGAGCCGATGGCATATAGGCAGCTCCAAGTCAATCCAGTGCCTGCTTTGGATCAGCTTGTGCAGACTTTGGAATCGTTTTAAAGGTTTGATATTCATCAAGTTTCTATATTGTGATCATACCCTCACTTTTATTATCCCTGCATTCATCTTGAGATGTGATTTCATTAGTTTTTTTCCTGTTTTTTTATTTGTGCTGGTCATCTCATGTTTTTTTGCATGCAGGCTGTTTCTTTCTTTTATATTTGTGCTGGTCATATCATGTTTTTATGCATGCAGGATGTTTCTTTCTTTTATATTCCTGCTGGTCATTTATTGTTCTTCTTTTCTGTGCTGGACACCAAATGAGCAATTGATTTCTCTTCACCGTCTCTAGAATCACTATCACACATTAGTTCTATGCATATGTGAGGTTCAAATATGCAATGAGACAATCATTTTGAGCAATTTTGACCATAGTATATTGTGCATTTTGTGTGAATGGCAAGTCTTTTATCCCTCTGTTTAATCTATCTTTCTCAAAGATTATAATGTTCATGAAGGTACAACTATAATGAAAGGAAACAAGACAGAGAACTTTCTGATTCAAGGTAATGATCACAACTTTCCCCAGAAATGTGTCAGAAATGTGTCAGATGCACAATAAGTAAGAGTAGTAAGAGATGGAAGTTTATCACTTGTAAGAAGTATTGCGGAAGAGGACAAGGGTCTTGCTTCTGTCACCTTTTTTTTATGTGCATCACTTGAGTTTAGAAAAATGCAATCAATTTTCTACGTGAATCCATTTTTCTAAACTCCATGGTAAATTTACTATCTGGTGCAGTGTAATACCAGGATTTTCTTTCAGCACTGCATCACTGTAGGTAGAATCAGGACCTTTGATTCTGCCGTCATCAATGAAGATACCTACAATCTGTGGGATTTAATCTTGAAGAATCCACATCATCTGAGCTTGATATACTGCTACTGAATTTGTTGCACCATGAGGATATCTAGTAAGTTGAAATCTTCCCAATGGTGTTTCAAAAGTTGTGAAGGGTCTTGAAAAATCTGCCAACTCTCTTTCATCATATCCTCTCATAATATCAACTAAGCCATAACATTCTCTCTCTGCAAATGATTCCACAAACTCTTCAGGTGCCGGAGGCATTCTCACATCCTTGATGGTGACCTCAATTTGATTCTTGTAAAACATGAACCACTGATCTTAGTTTCCCATCCTGCTTCTTGACTCAAAATACTGGGCTCAAATAACTTGAAGTTGACTGTTCATACAATCCCGACCTTAGCCTTTGTCTGATTAATTTGATATATCCTGGCTTGATAGCTGCTGGCATTGGCATTGGCTTCTTCTGCCATGGTTGATGGTCTACCACTGGAATGGCATAGGGAAATCCGTAAGAATGTTCCAAAACACCCCTTTCTTCTTCACAATAAGCCATTGCCCCTTCCCTTAATACTACTACATGTAATAATAACTTCATCTCTTCATCACTTAACCAATCTTGGGGCCCAAAATTACACATCTTCAACTGTTCCAAAGTAGTTTTCTTTGTCTCCCCAAAGTCCGGAGGATTCATTGACAAAGGTGTTTCATATGGATCCCTTGACATTGGTGGTCTTTGTAAGGGTGGATTGAGACTTTGTGCCATAGCTGCATTGACCGGCCGGACCTTCTTGGCCACTGACTTGTACTTTGCCGCACAACGTAACAACTCTCCCCTCCTCCATCTCTCACAAACCTCCGCTTGCTGCCTAATGTTGAAACCTTGATTTAGTGCCTTCATTGTCTCCCATTCTTCTTCCTTCAATAAACCTCCTCTGATTCCATTTTCTAACTCCTGCATACTCCCGCCATAATCTTCTAATTGTACACCACAACTTGAGAATTGAGACTGAGATAAAGAATATTCAATAAAACTAAAAGAAGAACTAAACTCTGAACCAAAATATATACTATCCTCCAAAACTTATCCCACTTGCTCTTCCTCCCTTGATAACAAAGATGATGAAATATAAGAAACTTGAGGAGAACCTTGAGACTGAAAATGAGGCTGAGAATTGAAATCATTATTCCTACACACCCAAGTTCCTGTTTCTTCAACAGTTGGTGATGGATGCCCAAGGTAACTTGGATTTGCTATATACTGACCGCCCATGTCTTTGCCAATGTCCTCTACAAAAAAGACTTGTCTTCACCAGACACCTCTTACACATAACTTGGAACGGAGCCTGAATCCTCCTCTTGAACTTCTTGCTGCAACCTAGCTAAATTGACCTCCACCATAGCAGTTCTTTTCTCCCCAAGATCCAACTCTCTTTCTCAGTCTCCTTCATGTGACTGACAGATGGTAAACCTTGTCCAGATACCTCTTTCATCCTTCAAGGTCCACCTTTCCCCGACTGCTTTCCCAAACTCCATTCCCGCCCTAAAGTCCATAAGGAAGGGCCATCCCAATAAGATTGGACATTTACTCTCCTTGGCTATCCAAAAGTGGGCCACACCCTGTACTCTAGTCCCTACTACCACCTCTATAGCCTCACCAATTCCAACTAACTCTGTCCTTTGTCCTCCAATGCCTCAATCTCCTGATCTAATAGACACCAACCCTGTTAACCCTAACTCCTCCGCTACTGATTCCGGAAGGATGTTGATTTGTGAGCCAGAATCAACCAAGGCCTTAACCCTTTTCTTCTTTCCGCCGAGCATAATGTCCAAATAGCCTGAAGGACAAGAATACAGTACATTCTCCTCATCATCTTCACTTTCTGAACTAGACTCCTCTTCATCTAATCCACCAGTGGCTGCTCTTAAGGGCTTGATGATCCTAGGATGCACCACCCGCCACTTAGAAACCTGCTTCTTGATGTGCTCCACCAATGCTGGTGGGATAGCACACAGTTCCCCTACCTCTGCCTCTATCTTGGTCCTCATTATCTTTGTCACCACATTATCCATCACCCCCTCATAACCTTGCTCCACCTGTCTCGCAAATCTTCCCTTAACTATATCCTTCTTCTGAATCTTTGGTGCTACTACAGTTGGCCTCTTCCTTTCTTTTAATTCTGCCAACGGGATGTCTTCACTACTATCTTCATCTTTGGCCAACTCCATCATTTCATCTCCTTGATCTTCATTGTCCTTTGACATTGTAACCTTCTTCTTCTTTGGCGCCTCTGCCAGTTCAGCTCTACCTCTACCTCTTTTCACTTCTACATTGTAAACCTTAGTTCCCGCTCCCGCCATTGCAGCCTTAAATCCTTTACTAGTAACTCCAGGAGCCTTCCATTCTTCCAATATGCCACAGCTAGCCCTAAGTTCCTGAATTTGAGGTCTGCCAGATCCACCTTTAGTCAATATACCGGTAACAACTGTCTTTTCTGGCACGTCCACACCTTTAGTTGTTTCCGCCGGAGGTGCACTTTGGTATTGTGACACCTTTGCTGCATTCTTTGCTTGCTCCACTTGGGAGGAATAATCTGCAACTACCGCTCTAATAGGTCTACTACTGTCCCACCTGATTACCGCACCATTAACACTGCCAGCATAATACATAATCCCCAATGGTATAATGAATTTTTTATGGTATAATGAATTGAAATTATCCTGGCTTTGGAAAGTAGTAGGATATTCATGGGACTGAAAAAATGCTGGTATACCAATTGAAGTCAGTTTATTGAACAGGGCTTGAAGGCTGGTTTTTGCGTGGGAGTGAGATGTATGTACAAGAGGCACAATGCACTATAGTCAAAACCAGATTTTTGATTCAATATCACAGCTGTGATGAAATTGTGGAAAATGTGTAACAACTAGTAGCAACATTTATTTAGAGGGCACAGTCACTGAGGCAGAACAAAGGGTTGAATCTGCTGAATAGACAGGCTCCCAAGCTCTGTATGCCAATGAATATGTTTGAATCTTTGTGAGAGTGAGATGAATTCAGGTTGATACTTGTATATATGCTGGTGGAAGGCCCATCTACTGAGCCATACAGCCCGGCGGATACTGGGGCCAAGAAGTCCATGAGCACCTTGCATGGGTTACAGCCTCTTCCTGTCAATGAGAAAAGTTATTGGACAAGGGAACAACATGAAACATGTAAGATGTAACTTTTTACAGGTTGCTTTCATATGCCTTACATACATATGTAATTTGTTACAGGTTGATTTCATGTACCTTACATATGTAACTTAACATGTTTCTTTATTATGATTACTACATGGAATTGATTGATTACATGTAGGCTATTAATATGTGATGAGTGCATTGTAAGTCAGAAGATCTCATTACAAGGCTATCTTAAAGTAATTGAACATACAGTAACCATGGAAATTGAAAGTTTCTGTGCCACACATGGAATTGATCATTACATAAGATGAAGCTTGTTACAGGTTGCTTTCATATGCCTTACATACATATGTAAGTTGTTACAGGTTGCTTTCATGTACCTTACATATGTAACTTAACATGTTTCTTTATTATGATTACTACATGCAATAGATTGTTAACATGTAGGTTATTAATATGTGATGAGTGCATTGTAAGTCAGAAGATATGTCATTGAGGCAGCTTATTACAAAGCTATCTTAAAGTAATTGAACATACAGTAACCATGGAACTTCAAAGTTTCTGTGCCATACATGTCATTGATCATTACATGTAAGTATTTGTATGTATATATGTCTTACATGTTTCTTTATTATAATTACTGCATGCAATTGATTGATTACAGGAAGGTTATTAATATTTAATGAGTGCATTGTAAGTCAGGAGATATGTCATTGAGGCAGCTTATGCCCCTTTTGACACTTATTGCTTTGAGTAAATCGTTGGAAAGAACACCAATACATTTTCAACCTTCAGTGAGCTGCTTTCAGCCCAGGGGAAGTCCTGCCGTGTCCAAAATAGGTGTGTCAGATGTAGAAAATGTAAGGGTTTTTTGTACAGAGCAAAGACCAGAAGTTTGACTCTGCAACTGGGTCAGGGTGCAGGTCTCACTGGTGAGTGACAAGCTGACACATTTGTTTCAAGATTATGAAAGTTCTCTGGAGGAGCAATTGTGTATATAAGCATAAGCATAAATACATTAATGTTTACGCTTATACACAATCTAATTATCTGTATTCAAGGTACTGCATGAGGCTCTATGTTCAATTACAGCTAGAGTTACCTTCTTATCTCATCAAGTTTGAGTATGTATGAACCCCTGAATGACTTCAGGTACTTCAATAATATGATGTGTAGTTTAAGAGCTTAGCACTTGTACCATCACATTTAGTGCAGGGGAGTTGATTACCAGTCACATCACTGAATGCCAAATGTTCCCTATAATTCACTTATCCTTCCAGCACCACAGTCAAATATACACTATGCCAACACCTGTCCAGCCAGGACCCCGGAGAGCTCATATGAAGGCACACAATGTAAAAATCTGTCCTACATACAATTCAGTCGGTATAAACCCATGTCATTACCCGGTTTGATGGTCATGTACCGTCTGCCGGCCAATACATCGGGTAATCTCAAATTTCAACACCTTTCAAATTGGCATGGGCATCGATCTCAAAATGGAGAGTAGAGATCACATAATGATCGATCGATGACTTGGCATATTGATAATTAAGAGCTAACAACGGTTCCGGGGTTGGGTTTTATCACTGCTTTCATCCAAGTCGTGTTTCAATTGTCGCAATTGTGGTCAAAAGATTTGGTTGATCTTAGGATGAGATCGATTTCAATCTTGTTTATACACTTTTGATCCTTTGAAGGAGATCGCATCTCATCCATATGGATTGATCAAGAATTTGGATGCTCTCGATCATTTACAATTGATATGTTTGGATGATGATTTGGTACAAAGTATTTACTGTCAACTTGTACATTTACAAATTCTTTGTTGCCTTGTGATCAGAAGGATGAAATCGATCATCTTTGAATTTGGGTTCTTGCATTCCTGACGGTCTGACAATTTGAAAGACTGGACAAAGAAATAAGAAAGGACAAGCCAAGATGATGCGTGAGACGAGCAGTTTCTGGAAGATGCATACATAAATCTTAAGATTCAATGAAGAAACTTGCCGATTGAGATGTAAAAATTAAGTGAGAGGATCTTTTCCGGCTGCTTTCAATGCTGAGAGAGTCTTTTCAAAAGAAACAGCCCAAGTGCTTATACTGATTGACTGTAGAATCATCTGGACTTTTGGTGAGATTGAGTGATGTCCGGGTTGTAAGAACTTAAATTCTTCATCTTTACTCTCTTGGAAGATGTGAGCCACGCGGTTGGGAGAGATATGGACATAGAAATATGAATTGTGACTGTCTGGATCCCAGGAAACGTCAACTGTGCCGTGTTGGTATCTTCCCATCACCACTGAGATGAACGATAGATTTGAAGGACTTGCGGCGGTTTCGACTACACTATGTTTTGAATTGGAGTTTTCGTATATGGCTAAGATACGACCAATGTATAGGGTACTATCTTTGATTATGATGACCCACTTATGTCGCTTCAGTGGGTTCAGTTCGCTGAGCTGTCCACTTTTAAGCCATTCAGTAGTGATGACCGGTATCTTTGAGCCAACCGTACAAATGATATCTGCTGCTCGAATCTTTGCCGTCATATTCCAACGTTTGTGACAACAAAGAGGTTCAACTTGTACACAATTCTCTTGATACAACATAGATAGCATCTTGCTACATTGACTTGGTTTCATATTGCTGACTCTGGTGGTGCCATCTATGGTAGGTGCTGGGAAATCAGAAGATTTGTTTTTCATTTGCTCATTTCCGTGATGTCGAGAGACAGCACTGTTGTGTTCGTGTCGGAGCTTCACAAGGTTTTTGAAGTTCAAAGTGGAGCTAGAAGTTATCAGTGGAGATTGCGTAGGTTGATGCTTTGTGATCTCAGGATGTGTTGATTTGGTTTGATAACTTCGCAAGTTCGGAAGTTGGAAAGATGAGTATAATTCATCTTCGATTCTCTGAGAGAGCTGGCCAACAATTGAGTTCGCTGCTTCATCATTTGCATGGATCTTGGCTGCGGTTGAAAGCGCTTCTGAAACTGTGAGTGAAGGTACTTTGGTCTCTTGATAATCATGATCTATGCTGGTGGAGATATCGTCATAGAATTGCTTGGGTTCCTGAGTCCAAAGTGCTGGGTTCACATGCTGAATGCGTGTTGTAGAAGATATCGGACTGTGCGGGACGTCATTCCCAACAAATTCTTTCAAAAATCTGCTTCCACACGGGCAATCTTGAGAGCACAAGTTATCTCCTCATCAGAGGGAAACTTGGTTAACAATGCCCAATTTGGATTGGGGTTTTCATCGGCAAACAAGTACTGGTAGCCTATCCAATTGCAAAATATGCAAAACCAAATGAGTCACCTTGTATTTTGAAAGAAAGAAACTTGCTTACCTGAGTGTAAATTGTCAGATTGTGGGACCTTGATTGTACCACTTGTTATACTCTTGACAATTGCAAATATCTTTGGCATCATCTCACGCGCACCTAAAACTGTAAAGTTGGGTGATATGACCCGCATCCACCCAAAACTATGCTCACATGCTTCAGTTCCGTGCTTTGAGAGTATTAATGGATGTTTTGGCCAGTACTCTCGATGTGCAATCACAAGACCAATCAGACTCTCCGCTAGCTGGACAAAGATCTTGAAGCTTTGATGAGAGATAAAGTTGAGATTTGGATTCATCAAATTATTTGTTTTTTCTTTTTGATGAATCAGGTAAGTGTTCCAGTCGCGTATGAAGAAGACAGTCCTCCAGGAACAGATGATTCTGTCAAAATGACCCATGGTAGGATTCAGCCAAGCATCACTCAGTTCACCCATGATGAATAAGTATACGGTGAGACCAGTGGTATCGGAATTCGAAGCAACATCGTTTAGTTCTGAAGCCAGCTTCAAGGTTTTATGATGAAAGGTGCGTAGTGCACGTCCATCATCATGAGGATCTACATTTTTGATGTCCTTCAAGCCCAATGGACATTTGTCTAGATTTCGTAACGAGAGTAGGTTCTCAATATTTGTGTAGTATTTTCCAAAAGCAAGAAGCCGAGCTCCAGAAAGGATCTGGTTGGCTGCAGTCTTGCGCGCGTGCTTGGGATCTTGCACAGTGACAATTGGAAGATTTGATTTGCCAAAAAGTCCTACTTTGACGTGTACATTGAGATCACCGTGGTCGTATTTTAGATATCTACTAGTGGAGGCGGTCAGGCTCAATTGAGCTGAGAGTTCGCTTGCAGCCCCATCCGATCCTAAGGAGACAATTGGAAGACCTGCTAGGTCCAAGAGCTCGATGAATTTTAAGTGTTGGGCCAAGATATTGTTGCTATTCTCTTTACTCTTGCTTGCAATCAAAGCAACTATAAACAAGGGCATATTTGGTAATGGTACCTGAACCGTATAACAACGTATCTAGATATGAATATCCATCAAAAAAATCAGATTGATGTAGGATTATATCACAAAGAGAAATATAAAACAAACCTTGTCACACAGAATTCCATGTGCTAGTATATCCTTTACCACATTTTCCAAATCAGCAGTGGTCACAAATTTGATATCACCTCCTTGAGCACCTACAACTGAACCATCATGTTGTCTAAGAGCTTTTAGACAGACAGTTTGATCGGTCCCTGCTACTAATGGGCCGCTGTAACCAAGCTTTTCAATCCACTTCTTGACCGGAATCATGTTTGCCAGCTGTAATCCGTCAAGTAGCTGAGATCCCGAAGTCCTTTGTTCTTCTCACTGGCTTCGGGGTGATCTACCGGCAAAATTATCTCTGACCAACGACACAACTCCACTGCTATATGCACCAGCTGTAATCAACCAATTGTCTAGCTCCGGTCGATAGATGATCCCAGCCAAACTGTGCCCATGAGATAGGCGCTCGGCTTTGCTACTCATAGCCTCAACAAGCGCTTTGAATACAGCATGATCATCAAATAATCCTCGCTTTGCTTTTTCGGCTATAATATCCCAGAGCTTTGGGCTACCTGCTTTTGCTGCCTGCTCGACCGACTCGCTAGCAAGCTTTTCACCGAGGATCTTGGCGCGGGTCACTTGGAACTGATCTTCAGATAATGTATTATTTGATATATATTTCATTGTTTTCTCATCTGCATACTGGCGATTAATAGCTGAGTTTAGACTAGATACAGTTTTGATGGCTAGACATTCAGTACAAGTAATTAGGTCATCTTTGATTAATGTTTGAATCATACCCTGGCATTTTGTTGAGTGAATAGATTGGTTACTTCCTTCTCGATTGATAAACCAGACTGACTGTGCTTGAAGAGTCCTGTGTAACTGATTCTTTTGATCTTCAGAAAGGAGAAGTTCACTTTGAGTCCCAAAAAGTTGATTACAAACTTCATGTCGGGGAGGATGTCCGTGATATGTGCTTGGTGAATGCTGTATGCAGACAGAAAGGGGTTGTAAAGATCGAGATTGAAGCCAAGTTTCATCACTCAAACCCGCACATGCGATCTCATAAACTAGTTGTTGTTGTCTATCGTTATCTTGAATCAATCGATCGCTCAAACGTATTCGCTCGGTATCATGACTACATGGCCCTAAAATTTCAACACGCTCAAGTCAAAACCATCAATCTTTGACCTTCATCTTATGTCATTTCAAATTACAGACCTGTTTTCCAATGCCTATCGGCCGATTGCAATATCTCCACTTTAAGTTTCCTTCCACAATGACATAAGAGTAGCTTTTGAGAGTCTTTGATTTTAATTTGACATCGACCACAGCCTTCATTATCGCCGGTCTGCAAGGGACAGTTTGAGAAGATTTGAGCCTTGAGACGCTCGAGTGCTTTGAATTCTCTTGATGGATTGTGATTCATTGCATTATAATTTTTGCTGGATTCTTGCACTTGATGAACGGTCTTGACAAATAAAACTTACAATCAAGCAAAATGTACCGAGGTCGTAGATACCTGTGTTTGCCCGAGTCACGGACTATCATAAACCCATGAAATTATAGATTTTTACATCGTGTGCCTTCATATGAGCTCTCCGGGGTCCTGTCCAGCCTGCAATCATGATTTTATCTATGGGACCCACTAAGTACAAGGCTGGGATTAATTCCTGGGACCCACTGAGTCCAGGGCAGGGAGTAATTGCTTCCTTTTTTGTATTGGCTAAAGAAACCCATCTCAATATGATTACACTTGATGTGACTTGTGCCAAGGCCTTTTGAGGTGAGGACCACACATAATTTTGATTAATCAGTGCTGAGGATATGGTTTAGTGAGAAGGATAGATACAAACCAACACAGGGGCAAAAGTAGATGCTCACATAGGTGTGAGCGTTGAAATTTTTGTGTTTTCTTCAATGTTTGTTCAATTTTGCTTTCCTTTTCTTTCCCTTTTCTTTCCCTTTTCTTTCCAATTTCTTTCTGCTTGTCATCTGATTATGTGATCAGCAGGGACTGAGCAGACAAACTAAGCCTTCCTCAGGCCTTATTCCTGAGCAAAGAAGTCTGAGGAAGGGCTGATCCATCTGCTCAGCTGATCCTGAGTGGCATTCCCTGGTTCAGTAGGCTTCAAGGGACACCACTTATGATTAGCTTAGGGGCTGAGCTGACCTGAGTATCCTCTTGACTAATTCTCTGCAGCATCCCTTGCATGGATCACATAGGTCCAGCCTTTCCTCAGGCTTCATGGCTCCAGAATGAAGCCTGATGCCCATCTGCTCAGCTATCCCTCAGTGGAATTCCTCGATCAAAAGGATCCAAAGGATTTCACTGCTCATTGGCTGAGGGGCTGCTCATCTAGTCCTCAGGGGCATTCCTGGGAGAAGGATCCAAAGGATGTCACTGAGTATTGGCTGAGGGGCTGCTCAGCTTCTCAGCTAGTCCTCAGGGGCATTCCTGGGATCAGAAGGATCCAAAGGATGTCACAGAGGACTAGCTGAGGGGCTGCTCAGTTGATCTCAGCCCCTCAGTGTGAGCAGCTTTATCCAGGGGACATCACTTAGGATTAGCTGAGCGGCTGAGATAAAATGAGCAGGGGGATGGCTCTTTTATGAGGTTTCGTTCCTTAGCAAGGAAGTCTGGCCCATCAATGCCCCAGCCAGGGGATGATACTGAGTATTTCCTGAGCATATCAAATGGGACGGCCCCTGTGCAGGCCTTCACTAAGAAATGAAGCCTGAGGAAGGTGTAGTTCATGTGCTCATTGTAATTTTGACCAAATTGCTGAGTATTCAGTGACTCATGAGCTGATCCTGAGTACTCATCTGGACTCAGTTATTGCTCATCCAAGATGGAAATGTGTCAGCCCTGAGCCCTGTGTACAGGACCACGGACTAACAAACACACATGTAAACACATGTAATACATATGTAAATAATATGTAAATATATGAAACTTGTTTAAAACCATAAGAATTACAACTCATGGCTCAGTTTCAAGAGTCACTTAAGTAACAAGACTTACTACGACTTAACCTCATAGTAAACCTAACCCAAACCTAACTCAAAAGAAAAGCAAACCTAAGTGCCAACCACAAGTTGACGCCTAGGTCTGGAATATATAAACCCCTCTTCTTCCCACTCTGGAAGAAGAACAACTTCATATCATACCACAACTACTCATCACAATCTTACTTGATTGTTTACATAGAATATTGAGTATAGTCATTTTGTTGTATCTTGATTATTATAGTTCTGTTTTCATCCAGGTCATTGTAAAACCTCAAGTAGTGTTCTGAGCTTGTGGGATCAATAGCTAACAGAACAAGCTTGGAATTTACAAAGGGCACCTCATTAGAGAGTCTAAAGTACCCAGCGGCACCTCTGATTCTTCAGAGTCTAAAGTACTGCAGGCTTGGTAGTTATAAGATCAACCCAAGCTCAGAGTAAGATCCTTAGAAGGACTACTCAGCCATCCCACTGGCCATAAATCCTCTCGTTAGAGGTCAACTAACTGTAGTCTTCACTTGGGTGTAACAAGTGAAGGCTTAATCTTTGACTACTCCTTACCTTTCTTAGTGAAGAGTCAGCCCAACAGTTGCTGACTCCTCACAATTTGGGGGCCTCATCCGGTTTTTTGTTCCTACAGACCTTTTTCTGTCCATTTCTCATTTTTTTATTTTTTACTCCACTTCCATTTTATATAACAAAATTAAGAAAGAAAAAAAAAGCTATGCCTTTTTTTCAAATTTTCATTTTAGAATTTCCTCTTTTCCTATTTTTTGAGATCACATTTGATTGAGATCACAAGTATTGACCAAGCTTTTATTTCAAATTGTAATTGAAATAATCAAAATTCTTCTTTAGAGGAAACTACTCAATTACCATCAAAGACACCCCATTTGTTGATTTAATTGAAATCAATCAGTGGGATACTTATTTACACACTGAGAGAAGAAAATCAACAAGCCATTACATACATATATAGCATTTTTATACTACTTTGTCTTTCAGTAATTGTGCTACATATATATTACAGTCTGTGGGCAGTAGTAATTCCCCATTTTGTTGAATTACTTGTCCAATATAGTAGACAGAGCACGTGTGTGGTTTATTACACAGCGGGTCAAGGAAGTGTAGTGTAATATACATACACCTTGAAATTCCATTCTCAGACTGTTCAGAAGTCGAGATAGCAACTTACATAAGCATAGTAGCTTTATAACAGTGTCAAGTGTCAACAATTGACAGCTTTGACTTAATTGTCACAAACTTGTGTCTTAGGAGGACAAGGTAATCTTCGCTAGCCCGCTAACTCAACAAACCATTGTGGTAATCATCAAACCACGACGTCGACCTCCCTTACGCATCACTACCATCATTATCGGACATACAAAGCCGATAATTATCGGACAATTGAAGTCAACAACAAGTCGTATCAAATCAACATAGAGAACAATACGTATCATAACAGAACAGGTCAATCTTCCTTTCTCATTATTAAAATTTGGAAAACAAAGAAGCTTAGTAAGGAAACAATTCGACTATCATCTAGTTTTATTATTATCTTCTCTCATTATTGAAGAAGTAATTGAAATCACTCTATTTGTTCTCTTTTCTTTTAGGGACCTTTTTTACTTGTTCTGGAAGTTTCCAGACGAGAACACCCTGAACAATACACTCAGAAGATATAAAAAGCCTGTTGGTTATCCCCAATAGAAATTACTTTTGCCAGAGATTTTGGTCCTTGAATCACATCACAACCAACAGGCTTCCTTACTTGTTAGTGTTTCTCAGATTGTCCTAATTAACAATCACTTGAATCGTTATATTAAAACTATTTGATTTTTTTTTTACTTTTCAATTCCTTTTTGATCATTTAATTCCTTTAGATTGCAATCAAAATCTGGCCTACAAGCCATCAAAGCAGAACTACAAGTAGTTACAACAGTCAGTAGTCAACTTTGGTTTGATCTTTTTCAACTTCAAGTTTTGATTTTTCTCTGAGCTTTAATTATCATTTTTATCCTTTATTTTATCTCAATTTTTGTCATCTTCAAGTGGATCCATTAGATTGCAACAATCAATCTTTGTTTTGAGATCTAGCGAATCGAATTCACGACGTTGCGAGTGAAGTAGGTGGTCAACCAGGGAATGTCTGTCCAGCAATCAACGGAACAATCACATCAATCGACGGGCAGTCTGTTATTTCGGAGACTACCCCTCTGCCACCCAGATTCCAACCGGAAGCAACACCTGTTACACCAACACCTTTAGGTAACATTTTAGATTACATTCAAGAGCCGGGTAAATTGCTCTTTTACATTAATACAACATTCTATTTTTCAAATCCAATTTCCTAATTTTTTTTTTCTCTTTCTGATTTTGTTCTGATTCTGAATCCCAGATCAAATAGAGGCAGTTCATCATTTGGAAAACCAAAGTAAGAGTTAACTTCTTATTTTGTTTCTGTATTTTTTTTGTTTACACTTGAAAACGAGATCTAACCATGTCTGATCAACCTCGTACACGTAGTGAATCAAGAAAACGTGCAAATCAACCAACCACAGGTACCGAGCGCCCCAGCGATCCCACCCGAGCAAGTGAACCAATCGGTCGAGGTTCAACCGATGGTGGTAGAACCAGCGAGCGCGGCAGGTCAACGACCCGAAGTAAGAGGAGAGGTCCTTTTACCTCAACCCCATTACGTGCAGGAACTGACTATCCTGCTATAGGGCGTACCAATCGAGCCAGTGCCCCAGCCCCGAGCACCAGTGCGATTGGATCCAGAGGTCACGTACCTCTGGAATTCCCTGCACGCTCAGTATCTGAGGTGGGAAGGGGCGAAGGCGATGGATCGAACCCTTCCAGACACGAAACGCATCTGGAAGGAGTCGGTTTTTGAGGCTCGCCGAGCTTGGCGAAAGCTAGTGTTCAACCACAGCTACTCGGACGAGGTCATAGCCATGGAGGTGAGCAAATGGCTACGCCCTGGTACCCAACAATGGCGCCCAATTTGGATCAACCCCTTCGAATTCAGGGAGTCAACGGACGAGGAGATTCAAAAACTCCAACCTCATCAAAACAATCCGACTCACCTCAACAAGAAGAGACGATCCTACAATCGATCCAATCATTGGGAAAACGATTGCAAGAAGCGATCGTCAGTCTCAAACTCCGAAGCTGTGATGAAGGCTCAAGCAGCTATGGGTCACTACCTAATCAGGCAAGAAACCCGCGGCCGCTTCAACCACGGCAATTAACTCTCAAAGATGAGAGGTTAGTAAGTTTATTTCGTTCCATTCTTGATTGAGATCTAGTGGAAAGATGGACTAATAAGATCGATTTGGCCATTCACACTGCAAAAATAATGTGTTTTTCCATGGCAAAAAATGATTGATTCTAGCATTTAAAATGCCTTGCTTGATA